AGTTAATACATTATATAATAGGTCAAAGTGTATAATCCACAAATTGCTTTTCATTTATTTAATGGCAAAAGCTACTTCTAGATAAATTTATCAATCATCAATGAAATTCAAAATTATATTTTTCATATTTCTGATAAACATTCGCAACAGAGTTATGTTTTTCACTTGAATGGAAAAGTCTAGTTTTACTAAAATTTATTATTCATTTTCTAGGGGGGAAAAGTCATGATAATTTCTATTGTAATGAAAATAAAAAATTTTGTGCCTTCTAAATGGAAATATTGTCAAGTTTAAAATAAAAGATGTTATTGCAGTTGTTTTAAAAATCAGTGTAAAATGGTTTTAGGTAAAATTTTAAAAAGCAATTTTTTCTGTTTTCACTTTTTCCTAAAGTTATGTAGAAAAAGTGTGAAGGAAGTTAGTATGTTGTACACACAGAAAACAAGGCTATAACTATATGATCAGTCTTTTTGAGGCAAACAAGCATTTCCTACCACCACATTTATAATGATAAATGTACTTGCAGCTTTAAAAAATCCTTTAAATCTCATTGCATAGGTCATTACCAGCCCTCAGTTTCAATAGAAAAAAAAGGTGCACAAAATAATTTAGTTAAGCAGATGTAAATAAATTTTATTTAAAAAGAAACAAGACTTGTTTTCAATTTAATTCTATTATATCTCATTTGACTTACCTTATTGGATCATCCATCAAAACTATAAAAACCTGTAAAAATCAGACATAAGCTTTCCAGGTATGGTACAGGTATATGCAACTGTGCATTATTAGAATTACCCTAGATTAATAATTTAAACAGGATTATATCTAGGTAACAGGAAATAAAAATTAATATCAATCAAATACTCATATGTAGGATCCTTGGAATCTTAGAGTCTGATCCTGAGAGAAACTGAGCAAGACTAACTCTCAGTGGCTTCAGTGGAGAGTTGTGAGTAGTCAGCAACCTTGAGGATAACTTTGTTAATTACCAGAAATATCAACACTCTTTTGCTCCTAGATGTGGGCACATTTATTACTGTCTTTGTTTAATGAGGAGTAGTAGTTTCCATATACCGAGGCAGGATTAGGTTTAGGGTGGTGGGGATGTAAGCAGTAATTCCAATTTCAGACACAAAGAGAAACATCTATGAAGAACTTGTAAAATAAACTCTAGGGTTGCCAGAAGGTTTTAACAAAAATACTGGACACACTTGACATTACATCACAATCTACATTACATCTTATTTAGAAAATACCGGACATTCATATTTTCTCAATTTGTTTCCCAAACAGAAAGCTCAAATACTGGACTGTCCGGTTCAAAACCGGACACCTGGCAACCCTATAAACTACACATGTGCATGTGTACCCAGAAGAAAGTTTCTCAAGTTATAAACTGCTATGCGCCTTCATATTATATCAGAATAAAATACAGGTTGAACCTCTCTAGACTGGCACTCTCTGGTATTATTTTAGTTAGCTGAATCATGAGCGTAGCCAAGTTTCATGCGGTTTCATCAGTCCTGGCTCTCAGTCTTCTGTGCTGTTATTTAGCTCTAATTTATCCCTAAATGTCATCTAACAGCCCTGTAAAGCAGTTGAAGTGTTGGTAATGCTGCTAGACAATATTGACCTCACACGGTCCAGCAAATTCTCTGGTTCAGCACTGGTCAGGCACCAAGGGTGCTGGAGTAGAGAGGTTCAACATGTACTACGGTATAAATCAAATTCCCATCTCTCTATGAATACATATAACTCCTTATTATGTTAATAGGAGTTACATGTATCTATTTAGTAGAAAATAGACTCCCTAAATGGCACAGAAGGTTTAATCTGTACGTGAGCTGATCAAGTTCCTGGGCAGAAGCAAGTTACTGTACTAAGAATACAAAAAAGTCCCTAAAGTTTCAGATTAAAGTAAGTTAAAACAAGATCAATAACCAGTAAATTTTAAGGGTTTTTTTGAACATCCAAAGCTGTATTAACTCTCCTGTGACTTAGAGCTATTAGATTTTGTGGGGCCCTGTATACATGTCTTTTTCCTAATTTAAAACAAAATTATCATAATTATGGCATCAAGGCCATTAATGCTATAGTAAATGTGCCTTTTAATTAACCAAGTCATTCTGTGGTTACATTTCAGTCTAAAAATCATGTAGAATATAGTTAAATTAATTCAAAATATCCTATTGCTTACCTTAGAACAGCTGTTATATTCGTTTTTTTCCTAGGAGGGAGCTTGGCTGCAGGAGGAGACTACAGGCAAAGGGTATAGGAGAGAGTGGGGGATGCAGGCTCTGCAAAGGAGTGCAATGCAGGAGGGTATTCTGACCTAAGGCAGGAGTTTGGGGTGCAGGTGGGGGTGCAAGGTGTAGGCTCTGACTGGGAGGCACTACATACAGGTGGCTCAGCAGGGCTCAGGCAGGCTTCCTGCATTCCATGGTCCTATGCCACTCCTGGAAGCTATTGGCTGCTGGCACATTTCTATGTACCCTGGGGAGAGGGGACAGTGTATCTCCCTGGGGAACCAGCCAATGCGAGCTGTGGGGATGGTGCTGGGACTAAGGGCAATGTGCAGATATGCCTCTCCACTCTCAGAGACCACAAAAACATGCCAGCAGTCACTTCCAGGAGTGGTGTGGAACCACAGCATGCAGGCAGCCGCCTGCACCACTGGACTTCCAGTGGCCTGAAGATTGTAATTGACTGGTGGAGGCTCCAGTATCGATTAGTTGCTCATGATTGACAGGTTGGTGACCACTGTTATATAATTATGGATTTATTTTTGTGCCCTCCCTCTTAGTCTGAAGTCCTGGGCTGCAGCCCTTAAAACTCTGCGACAGTCCAGTCCCATGTACATTTTTGGGCTTTGAAATAAATGGTGAATAAGCAACTACTTACATTTATGACTACAGGCAGTCCCCGGGTTACGTACAAGATAGGGACTGTAAGTTTGTTCTTAAGTTGAATCTGTATGTAAGTAGGAACTGGCGTCCAGATTCAGCCGCTGCTGAAACTGATCAGTTTCAACAGCGGGCGACAGTCCAGTCCCATGTACATTTTTGGGCTTTGAAATAAATGGTGAATAAGCAACTACTTACATTTATGACTACAGGCAGTCCCCGGGTTACGTACAAGATAGGGACTGTAAGTTTGTTCTTAAGTTGAATCTGTATGTAAGTAGGAACTGGCGTCCAGATTCAGCCGCTGCTGAAACTGATCAGTTTCAACAGCGGCT